AAGTTTCCTTCTTTTTTGTCATAATTTCAAAATAAAAAAAAAAAAAAAAAAAAAAAAAAAAACAAATAAATTAACATAAACATTTGCGTATAATCTTCAGATTTATTTAAATTTTTATTTTTTCAATCTTTTAATTGTTATTATCATCATAATCATTATTATTATTTGTATAATAATTTTTTTTTGTTATTTTGTTATTTTGTCCGTAATATGATAATTTTTATTTTTATTTTTTTTTTTTCAAAAGGGTTACTTTAACATAAAAATTTGCGTATGATCAACCATAATCACCGATTTTCTAGATTCAAACGTCAAGACGTTTTATTTTTTTAATCTTTTCATTTTTTTTATTATCATAATCATCATTATTATTTGTATAATAATTTTTTTTTGTTATTTTGTTATTTTGTCCGTAATATGATAATTTTTATTTTTATTTTTTTTTTTCAAAAGGGTTACTTTAACATAAAAATTTGCGTATGATCAACCATAATCACCGATTTTTTAGATTCAAACGTCAAGACGTTTTATTTTTTTAATCTTTTAATTTTTATTATTATCATCATCATCATCATCATCATCATTATTATTTGTATAATATTTTTTTTTCTTTTTTGTCGATAATATAATAATATTTTTGTTTTTCTTTTTAAAGGGGTGGCTTTCTACGGGCGCGCACTTTAAACGAGAATTGAAATCGCATTTGCACGTCGCATTTGTAGAGGCATCTCCATTAATTGACTAGTTCTTTTTTTTTTTTTTTCTTTTTTTTTTAATCGTGTTTCACATTTTCTCTACAAATTTTTTTTAATCTTTATCTTTTCTATCTCTTTCTCTTTCTCTTCCTCTCTAAATTTTGTTGTTGTTCCATCTCTGTTTCATTTATATTTTTTATTATTTCTTCATAGTTGACAGCCATAGTAACTTTTAGTTTCATTTATTTTTTGTTTGTTTTAAAATATTACTACACAACACTTAATTTTTCAGCGCTTGATCTTACGATTTAAAATAGGCAACAATTAGTTTCTTA